GAACGGCTTCAACAGTGTGCACACTCATACTGGCTGAACCTCCCCACCGGTCCGCAATGATGAGGACTGTATATACAAAGATCCTTAGAGCAGCCAACACATGAACTTTGCTTGATACGTTTGCAGTCATTATTAATTATATTGACACTTTTATGAAACAAATATTCAAAAGAATTTATAATTGTCAACATCATTAAATGTATTTATGGGAATAAACTCATCATTTATAAATATGGGATGGAAATGAACATACGTGACATAATATTACTAGTCGAAAATATACTAGTTAGTGATTATATACCCATTTAGTTAAGCTACAGCCACAAAAATTGGTTGCTCACTTTACCTTTAGTAACATGTTCTACAGATAGTTGAATTTCACACAAACGTGACCCATTTACAATTTCGCTGCGTAGCAGGGCAGCTGAGTATTACGTCCTTCGTGACGAACAATGCTGTTATGCGCCTAACTAGTTACCCAGGTCACTGTCAGTCTGGTCTGTCTCAGTCAGTATCTCGGAACAACAATATCACTCATACTTTCGATAAATTTTGCATATACATGACTCTATTTCTCACAGTGATGTTCTACGTTCATAACTACACCACTATTCTATCCAATGTTTCTTTCATCCTTCCCTACATCACTGATGAGCCTCAGGGAAGGACGAAAGACAATGGTTCGTATGATGTTCAGAGGCGAAACGAACCATTATTCTATCTTATCTTGGTTTATTACATGTTGTACATTTCCTTTTCGTTTGTTCCTTTAGGTTGGTCAGCAACGTCATTAGGTTTAGGTTGGTCAACAACGACAGCAGGTTTTGGTTTCTCCAGTCCAGTCCTGGCTTCCACAGCTACTGCACCATAAGAGCAAGGTGGTGAAGTCGAAGGGGCATCATAGCAGCCACATTATTATTGGCATGGTCATTGTTTTCGTCGCTGCTGTAGCTTTCATCGTCGTCCTCGTCTTTTGATATAACCAAAGGTTTGCGTTCCAGTGGCACTGGTAGTGTTTCCTTTTCTAGGCCACAAACTAATCTCAAGTTGATTCAGTCTCGTCATCGAGGTCGTCTTCAACAACATGCAACTCTTTATCATCGGAGCTCGTATCAGTGTGGTCAACAACGTCATTAGGTTTAGGTTGGTCAGCAACGTCAGCAGGTTCAGGTTGGTCAACATCCTCAGCAGGTTTTGGTTTCTCTAGTCCAATCTTGGCTTCCACAGCTTCGAATACTGCACCATAAGAGCAAGGTGCTGAAGTCGAAGGGGCATCAAAAGCAGCCACATTATTATTGGCATGGTCATTGTTTTCGTCGCTGTTGTAGCTTTCATCGTCGTCCTCGTCTTTTGATATAACCAAAGGTTTGCGTTCCAGTGGCACTGGTAGTGTTTCTTTTCTAGGCCACAAACTAATCTCAAGTTTATTTCAGTCTTGGCTTCCACAGGTTCGAATACTGCACCATAAGAGCAAGATGCTGAAGTCGAAGGGGCATCAAAAGCAGCCACATTATTATTGGCATGGTCATTGTTTTCGTCGCTGTTGTAGCTTTCATCGTCGTCCTCGTCTTTTGATATAACCAAAGGTTTGCGTTCCAGTGGCACTGGTAGTGTTTCTTTTCTAGGCCACAAACTAATCTCAAGTTTATTTCAGTCTCCTCATCGAGGTCACTGCAACTCTTTATAATCGGAGCTCGTATCACTGTGGTCAACAACGTCATTAGGTTGAGGTTGGTCAACAACGTCAGCAGGTTTTCGTTTCTCTAGTCCATTCTTGCTTCCACAGGTTCCCCAATAATAATGTGGCTGCTTTTGATGCCCTTTCTACTTCAGCATTTTGCTCTTATGGTGCAGTATTCGAACCTGTGGAAGCCAAGACTGAAATAAACTCAAGATTAGTTTGTGGCCTAGAAAAGAAACACTACCAGTGCCACTGGAACGCAAACGTTCGGTCATATCAAAAGACGAGGACGACTATGAAAGCTACGACGAAACAATGACCCACTGGAACGCAAACCTTTGGTTATATCAAAAGGCGAGGACGACGATGAAAGCTACAGCAAGCGACGAAAACAGTGACAATAATAATGTGGCTGCTATGATGCCCCTTCGACTTCACCACCTTGCTCTTACGGTGCAGTAGCTGTGGAAGCCAGGATTGGACTGAAGAAACCAAAACCTGCTGACGATGCTGACCAACCTGAACCTGCCGACGCTGCTGACCAACCTAAACCTAATGACGTTGTTGACCACACTGGTACGAGGTCCGATGATAAAGAGTTGCATGTTGTTGAAGACGACCTCGATGACGACTGAAATAACTTGAGATTAGTTTGTGGCCTAGAAAAGAAACACTACCAGTGCCACTGGAACGCAAACCTTTGGTTATATCAAAAGACGAGGACGACGATGAAAGCTACAACAGCGACGAAAACAATGACCATGCCAATAATAATGTGGCTGCTTTTGATGCCCCTTCGACTTCAGCATCTTGTCCTTGTGGTGCAATATTCGAACCCGTCGAGGCCATTGGACCACAGAAACCAAAACCTGCTGACGTTGTTGTTGTTGACCAACCTACGCCTGATGACGTTGCTGACCAACCTAAACCTAATGACGTTGTTGACCACACTGATACGAGCTCCGATGATAAAGAGTTGCATGTTGTTGATGACGACCTCGATGACGAGACTGAAATAAACTTGAGATTAGGGATTTCGGGATTCGCTTCCAACATAGTCTTGTCTTCTTAGATTCTCTAACCTTCTTACATAGGTTTAGCACTACTTGCCTCTACCCACCCCATTGTTTAAAATTAAAGCAACAATAAATATTTTTTACAAGCAGTAAACTGAGTCCAATCTTCGGTATATTCCGACCCAATGAACAGGAATGTCGCCTGTATTTGGAAAGAAAACACCTGGCCTCCGAGCCGGCAATTCAGTCTTGTTCTAGCGCCGACCCATGTAGCGCACATTTTACAGCGCTGCCTTGCATGTGAGGCTGGCCTCATACTCAGTGTCCAGTATGTCAAGTTTCTCCTTGGCACAATTTTCGGGCGCACTTGGTTTTCTCAGGTGTTCTGGCACCAGCGTCTGTGACACGGGCTCCAGACCAGGGAAGAACAGTGAGGTGGGTGGAATGACGATAGTAGTACCACTGCCACCCTTCCATCCTCTCCATTTTCTCTGGTTCAGCCCTCTATTGCAGCCTATCCCCTTCCTCGTTTCCCCCAGAGTTTTGCCGTCGTGCGGAGTTTACGCGATAAATAGAATAGGCACTCCTTTCCTGGACGTAGTCGGAGGCGATTGGATGGTGCTTCGCGACCGTGAATGCAATCGTCACTATGCCTCTGCATCCCATTTTCTACATCGAATAATTCGTCCGCATCAGTCAATTTCCTGGTTAACGTAATTGGTCAGTCGACACCCTTGCGAGGCTATGCCCACATAAATAAGGAATGAGGAGCGCAATTGCGGCCGGACTGCAGAGCACACCTATGTAAAGAGAATAAATGAGGATTTCTCACAATCTAGGTGAAACTGAAGTCGTGAACATTTTTCTACCCTAGGCGCATCGATTTCTGCGGCACGTCGGTATGCTGCAGAAGCTACACCTTCCCATTATGAAGGCCAACCCATGGCGCACTTCAAAGCAGCCGAAGCAAAACAGAATAATTCTCATTCATTTCGTTGAAAAAACGCCTCTTAGTACGTTTACGTGTTTAACACACCCTGGTCCGCCGTAGTGCGCGCGCAGAGAGCTCATATCTTATGGCAAAAAAAGAGGCGTTCTGGCGACACCTGCGTATTCAACGTTGATACTCTTAAGTCACAA